CCTCTGAGCTTTCCTGGTGGCTTTTTTTTGGCACAGGATGCCAATAGCTGAGGAATCAGGAAGAGAAAGAAACTCATCAAAATGACAGCTGGGGACAAACTGGGAGAAGAGGAAATCCTTCTGATGTAAATACTGCTCGTCCCACTGCAGCCCATCCATATCACCCCTGTCAGGTCTGTACCCCATTTTTATGTAAATACAATGAGCCTTGTGCTCAAGGGGTGTGACTTCAGCCTTGGATTTCCCTCCTAGCCTGAGAAGTGAAAGGATCTGTGTCCCTTCTGACTTGCTTTTGCTCTGAAGCAGAGAGCAGATGATGTGTTTGAGAGCCCAGAAGAGCTTCAGTCAGCTGGGCTGCTTCCTAAGCCCTCTCTTCCAGAGAGGGGGAGTATTTGTTGTCCCAGTGTCCCAACAGCTGGAGGTGGTGGAAGTGTGTTTTGGGCCCTACCTTCCAGTGGGTATTGTGGGTGTAGGAACAAACTCGCTTTAATTTAACAAAGCCCTGCGTTTTTGGCTCTGACCCAAGGCTGCTTTGGCCTCGTTCCCTGTAGCACAGAGCAGGACTCAACTCGAGGCAAATGAAATCTGCTTTCTCCCTGGGGCCGGGGCGTTGAGCTGCCCCTATGATCACTGCTGAGGGGACACTGGCAGCTCGCCCCTCGGGGGGGCTGCGTCCGGGGCTGCCTGCGGACCTGGGGGGCACGGGAAGCAGGGGTGCTTCCCAGCAGAGGGCCCTCGAGCAGCACTGCCGGCTCCCTCTCCTGGCCCCAGCAGCTCCGGGGCTCCTGGTAGAGAGGGATGCACAAAGTATGGCAGTTCAGTGTGCTCTCGGAGGAGTTGCTCTTGCTGGAAAGATAAGGGGTGTTTTTTTAGAGAGTGCAGTCTTGGAAGTTGGTAGGAGACTGGCAAGGCTTGCTCACAGGGCTGCAATGCCCAAACCTGTGTTGCTTCCCAGAGGAGTGGAACACAACTTGTGTTTTCTAAGCCCTTGAGGTAAACATACCATGCTTTCAGGAGCTAGCAGAAGTATTGCAAGGCACCAGAAGCAATAGCCCCAGCTGATGAAATCCCCAGGCTCTTGTGCCCTGAATGAAGGAAGTGCTGTGACCTGGGTGGGTCTCCAAGTGCTTCAGGATGGCTCATTGCTCTCAAGCAGACATGGTGCATTATTAATGAAAGGCACATCAAGCACTTCACAAAAACCCCCTTAACCCTCCGGTGTTCTGCTCGGTCTTACCGCAATTTAATGTTTTTCAGCACCTCCTGTTTCTGCCTCTTCTAAATGAGTGAGCCAGGGCAGGGAAGTCAGTGGGAATTTGGCAGATTTTCTTCCAAGGGCCCTGCAGTGGTTTCCCAGGGAATGGGCAGGCAGGGCTGAGCAGGTACTCTTAGAGAGCCAGCACCCCAGTGCATGTTGTTTTCACTGCTAACTGAGGCAGCACTGTTAGAAAAGCTTCCAAAAGCAATGGGTTTGCTCACCTTACACCTTTACTAGTCAGTTGTCAGGGAGTGCTTGCTGAGATGCCATGTTCTGTCTAGATTTCTTGGGAAGTGGATGGAAAGGACAGACAAGTCCTGCTTCTTGGTGACTCGAATGCAAATGTGGGAGCTACAGAGTTGCTTTTTGTGGTTCCCTTGGAAATCAGTGCTAATTCAGCTGTAATACTAAGGAATGCAGTGCAGGAATTTGTTGAGTTCAGCAGCTAAAAGGCTGTAGTACCCATGTCTATGTAAAACAGACCAAAAAACCCCTGAAACCTCAAGGTCACAAGGAATAGCTGTGATGGAGGATTGAGTCCTGAAAACATGTGTGAGGGATTTTGTTGGTGTACATAGGATTTGCTGTGTGCACAGGTGTGTTCAGGGTGAGCCGCTTTTGTCATGATGACTTGGCACTGACGTTTGTCAGCCAAGGAAAAATGCTGAGAGCCTCTGTGATAAGTGTGGCTGCGGTCTCTCTGCACCTAGATCCTTCCATTGCAATCTTTATCCTCTGAAACTTCCTGACTTAGGTTGAATTACTTGTGACTTAATCCAATGCAAATATTTTATCACTGGGTAGTGTGCACAAACCCCTGGAAGTGCAGGAGCTGCCAGTTTCCATCTCATTCAGCATCACCTCTGACTGACAATGCTGTGGTCAGCATGAGCGGCTTCCGAGGAATCTACCAGAAATGCTGCAAGATGTATTTATGGAATAACCTGCCCACAGGGAAAGTTTTACCCTAGCAGTTGCACCGAGCATGCGCACGTATATGTTCTCTAATCTTTACCATCAGAACTTTGCCTGTTCTCATTATCCATACACATATCACACACTGTCAATGACAGTGATACCTTGCGTGACCTCCCTGGAAAACGAGTTCCTGAGTTAGCTGAGGGAGGAAAATGTGTGTGTGCTGGATGAGAGGGCAGATCAGAAATTGCTGTAGAGCAGCAGGCATTTGGGTGAAGGTGCTGTCCTGTCCCATGCCCTGTTGAGGCATTGCCTTGGTCAGGATGTCGGCAAAGGCTGTCAGCAGAGCTTTTCCTCACCAAAGCTTTGTGAGCGGGACTGAAGCCAGCGGGCTCGGAAGGCAGGTTCAAACAGTCAGCCAAAGTCTTCCCAAATCCAGCTGCTTCTCTGTGGCCTGTGCAGGGAGGGCAGAGCTAGCAGGCTGCTGTGCTGAGTGACGAGCTCCTCTCTGTTATGAAATGGAGCAGAGAAAAATCCTGGAGACGACTGAGGAGGTTTGGCAAGGGGACGTGAGAGCCAAGGGCTGAGGGCAGTGCCAGAATGTACACACATACAGACGCTGCACAAGCCCACTCTAGCCAGCGGGACTTACTGTGTCAGTCACCATGACAGACAGGGTTATTAGTGCACTTTATGGGTGTTTCTCTGCACAGAGAACGTACTCCTTTTTAAACTTGGTCAAAACAACTGCCTGGCTCTTGATTTAAGGACTTCTGGAAATGGATCCCGTAGCGTTTTAGATGATTAAATGCAGCAGTGTGATATTTAAAGACTGACTTGGAATCAGGCATCCTGATAAAAAACCTTTTTTTTTTAGCCAGAAAATTGAATGCACAGGTTTAAAATGACAGTATTTGAAGTTACAGTGAATTGTCAGGAACTGGAATTGGTACAGTTAATTAGGTTTGTTTCTGAAACAGCGAGCTAAGAGCCAGCTGCTGAGAAGCATGAGGTGCTTTCATTGAGGGATCATAATGCTTGGAGGGATCCCAAAACCCCCATGAGTTATCTAAGTGGCAAAAAACAACAGCAATTTTCTCTAGTAGCTAATGTGTCTTTTCTTCAGGAGCTCCCTAGTTTATTTAAACGGAAGTGAAGTGAAGGTACGGACTAACTGGCACATCATTAGGGATTTAGGGCATGGAGACAGCAGTCTTGCTTTGGAGCCTTTGGAATAGGGAAGATGTACAGTTATTTGGGTTAGGACTTGAGCACGCAAAACTTCTCAACTGATGTGGTGCTCTGCTTCTGTTAACACAGGAACTGTCATTAATTGAAATGAAATACAGTTGTAAGTGATGGAAGGCACCACTGTGCCCATTGGAAACTCACTGGCTGTTGAAAAACTGGTTCTTAAAAAACTGACTTTATTAAAGCGAACAGAGGAGCCCAAGCCCTGACCCATTCATGTGCAGACTGTGGCTCTGAGATCTTCCAGGAAAACATGGAACAGCATGAGGGGACAGTGACTTAAAGCCAATCTTCTGTTCTCAGTGTCTGGGGACAGCACAGGGGTGGCAGCAGCAGAAAGGAGAGGAGGAATTTGGCAGGGAGATCCTTCTGCAGCGCTCTCCCTCTGCTCTGCAAGTGCTGTGGTTTCTGTTGCTGCTGCTTTTTCTGCCCAGCCAATGGATTGCGTATTATTCCCTAGTACAGAGTTTGGATGGGTGACAAAGGTGGAGCTTGGTAGCTGAGGAGCAGCTGAAGGGGCAGTTGCTGTGTGGTAATCATAAACCTTGCTGAAGAAGGGGAGTTTTCCCCCTATGGAGCTACAATGGCCTCCTTTGTTCCCCTGGGAGACTGTGTACTTCCCATGATGGATTGCTGTTCTGCCATGTTCTTTGTGAGCCTTTTGCAGAGCTCCATGGTTTAAAAATATTTCATGGATCTCATCACCTTGGCCTGGACAGTCAAGCTGAGTGCAGGAGCTACAGCTGACTGAACAAGATGAGGGATATTGGCACTGCTTCTCTTGTCCAACAGCAGTCTGGAGGGAACCTATGAAAGGGTGATGAGTGTCCATGGAAGTGTCTGTGTAGGAGAGAGAGGAGGAAGTAGGACTGGGCTGGCAAGCAAGGTGAACCTTGTGATGCTCGAAGTTAAGGAGAAGCAACACATAAGGTACTATTTCCGTGGAAAATTAAAATGAACTGACTAAATTATGGTTTCTATATTTTTCTGGGTTGGTTGTTGTTCTTGTTGGGTTTTTAATGTTTTTGAGGTTTTTGTTTGGTTGGATTCTGTTTGCTTGGGTTTTTTCCAGTGCTACCTGCTTTTGGCCCGGAAGCGCCGTGGGTCGTGCGTTTCCAGCGGCAGGGAACCTGCCCTGGGCGTGCGACAGGAGCCGTGGGCAGCCCGCGGCAGTATCGCGGCTGTGCCCCCAGGGAGAGCATCCCCCTGCTCGGGGGCCTGGCATCTCCCGGCCTGAGGCACAGGGTGCCCACTGCCAGCCCCACTCGCAGCCGGCGGGGGTTCCCGCTGCCGCCCCTGCCCTCCGCTTCCAGCCGTGGAAGCGCGCACCTGCCCCGGCGCGGCTCGGGGCGGGGAAGCGCAGCCCCGGCCCTCAGACTCCTCCTCCGGGCTCCCCGCCCCGGGCCCCGTGACGCCGAGCGGCGGCCGGGGATGGGATGGGACGGGACGGGCCGGGATGGGAGCGGGTGAGGGGACGGCCGAGCCCGCCGGCGGCTTTAAATGCGGGCCCGGGCCGGTGCCGCCAGCACAGCCGCGCCGCTCGCTCGGACTGCCGCGGGCGCTCACCGACACGGACACGGGCACAGACACAGAGGGGCAGGTGTAGGGCCCCCGCCATGCCCCATTGAGCCCGCCCGCAGCCCGTCCGCAGCGCCCGCCCGCCACCCCGGCTGCCCCGCAGCCGCCGCCCGCCGCCAAGCTGGAGGAACGCCGCAAGCCCGAGCCCCGGAGGTGAGTGACCGGGAGCGGGGGTGGAAACGCCGGGCTGCGTTTCTCCGTCCTCGGTGTCTTTTTCGGTGCCTAGCTCTGCTGGAGCCAACTTTTAAAACGCTTCATGGTGTTTGAAAACTTTCTTTACCGTTACAGTTCATCTTCAGTGAGTTGTTAGCAGCCACTGAATAGGCAGCCTCGTCTTTCCTGGGTTTCCAGTTATCCACCTGGTGTATGGTTGTATGGAGTGTTTTATTATCCAAGACCTGTTTGTTTGCCCTTTCTGTGCTTCCTGTGAAGCGCTGCCATCCATAGCGAGAGCACACGAGGAAATGAGGATTTAACCATCTTGAGGCTTGTTCCTTTTTTCTGTACGGCGTTAGTTACTAACAGATTTTTCTTCTGTTCCGAGTGCATCCCTTTAGCCCTCGCGTTCAGGAGGAACACTCGGATGTGCAGGGAGCTCCCACGACATGATGGAAAAAGGCACCGGGCTCTCACAGGAGAGCGGGGCTCGGGATGCGTGGCGGCAGCTCCGTGGAGTCGTTCCGCAAAGCTGCTCCTGTTAAAGTTGGGCGCGTAAGGAGCAAGGTCGGGCCCTGGGGCAGATCCGAGCAGTAGCAGCTCCCCTGGGGAACTGCTCCATGTGCTATATATAGGTACTTGCTCCTTTTGTGTCAGAGGTGCATCTGAACTTGACTCTGTGCGTGTGCTCCCAGCTGCTTAGGGACTTTGTTCTGGTTGTTCCCATAATGTACATACTTTCTGTTTAAAAAAACAAAAACAACATAAAAACCCACCCACCCAACCAAAAAAAAAACCCACCCAAAAACCGAACGACAAAAGCTTCACTAGTTGGATTTAAAAAAGTGTGCCAAGCTGTATATATTGTGTGTGGGACAGAATATGTTGCTAAGTGTTGGTGTGATAGACTGCAGGAATACACCTAGTTCTTATTCTGGTTGAGATCAGTAGGAAATTGTACAGAGGCCCCCTGACCAAAGCAACCTTCAGGCTCCGAAACCCCAGCAACTATTGAATGAGAGACTTCATTTTGTTCTCACAATCTCCGGTCCTGTGCCAAGTAATTAAATGGGACTGTTTGCATCTGTGCTTGCTCAGAGCATGGTACATAAGCTGATCTGTCCTAGTCCTTTCCTGGACTGCCATTCCAGGCTCAGAGAGTTTTTCTGGTGACATCGGGATTAGGTGATGGAAGAGTTAATTTTGCAAAGCCTGGTTTCAGCTGGTGATTTTAGCTCTCATCAACTTCACCTGCTGCTGAGGGTCAGTGGGATTGGAAGGGCAAATGCAAGTGCAATCTGCAGGGATGCTTCTTCAGCTTCCTAGGAAGGAAGCACAGACTTTGAAGTTCCAAATAAACTAGGAGGATTTGTTTGTAACTTACCCTTTGCTTTTGCTGAGCTCAGGGTAAGTTAATTTTGCATTTTTAAAAGCAGCTGCTGGACTTAAGGGACCTGCATTCCCGAGATTTCAAGGGACTGGCAACTGTAGACTGCTGACCTCGGATGAGTAGGGAGCAAGGTATGGTGGTGGGGTGAGAAGGAATTATGGATTTTTTTTCTCCTTTTCTTTCGTTTTCCAGCTGTGGGGAGGAGAGATGAAACTTTCATTTATGTGCACAGGGCATTCCTGGCAAGGTAACACCCTGCACTCATCCGGTTTGCTCCCAGCAAGGTCTGGCAGGATTTTCTGCAGCTCAGAACTGTGCAGGTTTTTCCCTTTAACTTCCATGTTACAATTTTAGATCTTGAAACTTCTCTGCAGCCAGAAAACAGCCTCATGTACTGGTGCTGTCTTGTGGTATCACTTGCAGCAGGTTTTTAAGAGGAGCTTTTAAAATGTGTTGAGTGTAAGGTAAATGCTTCGGTTACCGATGTCTTAAGCTGATAAGAAAAGGTTGAATTTATGCACAAAGTGCAGTTCAAAGAAAAACATCCCTGTGAGAAGGAAAAATCTGTAACTCCTTTTGATTTCAGATCTACCTGCTTATCAGACAGGGTGGAGGAGCTGAGTGTGTCTCTGGCTGAAGGTTTTCTAATGCTGCCACCCTGGACAGCTGTAAATAATAAGCTGGAAGGGGTTTTGGGCAAGGTTGGGAAGGAAAATTGCTGCGTGAGAGGCTAAAGAAAAAAACCTGTTCTTATTTTTCTGCCAGTAAGTGTGCGAACAGCTATTTGCAGTCGGGGATGCTGCCTCGCCAGAAGGATGCAGTCATAAAGGGAAAGGTGTTGTTTTGAGAAAGGAAAATCTGGGGGAAATGTGCTGTTTTGGGAGGTGGGTGCCCAAAAATGGGCCTTGTGGTTTCAGCAAGTGGTGCTCCTGTGTGTGTACATGCCATCCGTTAGTGCAGATTTGCTGGTAAACCAGTTTCTCTTCTTTAATTTAATTTTTTGGATTTTATGCCATGACGTTGTTATACACATCCATATCAAAATAGCATGGCTTTTACTGGTGTGCCCCCAAGTTCCTCCCCTGGGCTGGGAGAAGCAGAGGGCTTGGAAGGAGGGTTTGGGGGTGCTTTGCTGACAGCGATGGTGCCGCTGGGTCCTGCTGAGATGCCTTCATGGCCCCACTGCGAGAGCATCCTTGTCACGCTCCAGAGACCCACCTCACACAAATCTGCTGTGTGCATTAGGTTCAGAATTTGAACTCTTGCTTTGAGCAAATTAAAAGGGTACTGGTAACTCCTCCTTGTTCCAAGTCAATTAGCTGCTTCCGGCTTCAAATCCACTTAGAAGGCTCACAAGAGGGGAGAGTGCTCTTTGAAAACCCAGTAATAGTAGTTTATGGTTAATATTGATAAAGGAGTGCGTGTCTGTGTCATTGTGCTGCATCTGGTGGAAGGAAAGCTCCTCTTTTGTGCTCCCTCAAAACATAAGGGCTTGGATGGGGAGGCAGAGGTCTTTCTCTTAGCTCACACTGCCTGGCTTGAAATGGAGATACAGCTATAAAATGGTCAAGGTTGCAGTGGATTCCCACAACCACTCAAAGTAAGGTTTCTGCCTCCCTGCCCTTGAACTTTGAGTCGCTGTAGCATCTCGTTTCTCCTGAGTTTGCTCAAGATTGTGCGCAGTTTGTGGCAGGAATGATTTTTATTGCTGTTAGACAGTGTCAAAGACAATGACTGCACCCATAACTGGGTGATAAAACAGTGCGTAGCATAAGTGAAAAGCTGCAGAGCTCTTGCTTTTCAATGGCTTAATTACATTAACTGAAGAGATAAAAATGTCTTTGAATTACATACACAATTATGAGTCTTTCACATAAGGAACATATTTGAACTTGCCATAGGGACTGGCAGTGCAGTAAGGCTGCATGGAGATTTATGAGAAATTTGAAAATCAGAGAAAGCTCCATCTCAGTTCTTGGCGTTCAGTTTGATTTGGAACAGTGGATTTCTGTCCAAATTCAGTAGGCATGTAGAGCCATGCTGTTGGAGTATGGCTGAGCCTTCTGAGCACAGCAGAGGAGGTTGCAGACAGCCCTGAATTTTTATCTGAATTTTCTCACCAGAAAAACCAGAAGAGTTGATTCCATGTCACCGATATCAGAATTCTTTGAATCTGCAGCACAAATGAACTTTGAGCCTCTGCATTCCAGAAACCATGTGCTATTAGGAAAGTTCATTCTGCTGCCAAAGTAAAACAGAGACTGAGGGGTGGATTTGAAATAGCTTTATTATTTATATATATAAATACGTATGGAGAGAGAGAGAGAATATGGCTGATCTATATATTTTCTACTCCTAAGGAAATTCTTTTAGTGGGGGAAGAGAATTTTCCAAGTATTTCAAATTCTAGCTGTTTTATATAACTGCCTTTATAGGGGAACAGGATCATATTCCTGTTTTGCTAACATATAATAAATACTTGCTAAATACTCTGTATTAATTCTGTCTTGAAAGAAGCCTTAATTTTCCTTTCATAAGTATTGATCCATACTTCTGGTATCCCAAAGTGAGTTAAGAACTTGGTGGTGGGAATTGTTCCATGACTTCTTTTAAGACTGAGGATTACTCAAATCACTTCATTCTGTTATTAATGGTGACTATAAAAGCTATTTCATATTATTCAAAATATAGTTAGTAATATAATATTATTAATAATAAAATTGCATATAATCTATAAATAATACAGAGCTATGGTACCTCTGTTTTTGACCTTGTTGAGGTGACTGCTGCTCATCTGTGAAGTTGCTGATATTTGATGTGATTGTTCCCCAGGGGAGATTGAATTTTACTTTCTTTTGAAAGTTATTACAATGAGCTGGTATTATGCAAGAAGTCCTGGTGGTTTGCATGTCCAACTAATTTTTAGCTTTTTTCACATAGGAGTTTTTCCTGTGGTGTGTTCTGTCTTTTTCTGCTACTTTTTCTGAGCGAAACATGCAAACACTTGGATTTTGATGACTGTGCAGATGTGTAATCTGATGGCAAAGATGGCAACTGAAGTCTTGCGTGCCAACTACTCATCTTTACTAAAATTTTTCAGTTTTCTCTATTTTGTACAGTAGGTGCAGAAACAGAACTTGTGTCTCTTTTTCAATGGTGTGTGCAACTTGAATATTATGGTGTTTTCCTCCTAAGTTTTTTTAATAAGTTTTTGCTTCATTTTAATCACATCTTGAAGGTTTACTGACCTCATTTAAACTCTCAACCTTGAACAGAAGGTTGCAAAAGTTAATTGCTTTTATTGTACCTGTAGTGGCTGTATAACTCTTCAGACACATTGTCAGCCCTTCAATGTAAGCGTAAAGGTCTTTTCATCAAGGCTGCTAAATATGAGGTTAATAAGAATGAAGCTGGGAAATAGTTGCTCACTAGCTCAATGAAAAGTGGCATTTGAGCACATCAAACCTTGAAGTGTATTTCTTACACACAGGAATTGGAGGTGCACATTTTGCTGAGATCTCAGAGCTAGCAATTGCGGTCATCTTGAAGCAGATGTTACCTAAATTCTTGTTAAATTTGTCTAGTTTGAGCTCAGTTCCCTGGCTGA